TGACCTTACTAACTTGCTGACATGTTTGGATTTTAGCTTATACACAATGCAGGAAGGTGCTAGTTAAAGGTTACATGGCACTCCTTTTAGCCGGATAACTTAAGAGAAGTTATTTTACCTCTTGGACTTTGAATTTTCTCATCTTTAAAATTGGCACAACACAACTACGTTGCTAGATTATTTTAGAGAATAGATAGGTGGTGGATATGAAGTGCTTAGTGGGTATTTAAAAATGATAATTCCTATTACAGTGGTTAATTAAGAATGAATTTCTTGCAGAAGGAGAAACTAATGTATTTTCACAATACATTACAAATATTGTGTTATTAGAACACCAACCTAAGGTTTAAGCATAGACATTCCCCAGTATGTTAAGTACAGTCATGTATTTTATTGCTGAGGAGGGTAGATCCACTCTATGAATCTACCACAACTTTTTATCCTTTCATCTCTTGGTAAACATTTGGTTCCTTCCAACTTTTCTCTATGGTAAACAAAGTAGTGATTATTCATGTGTAACTCTTTATAGGGACACATGCTTTCATTTTTCTTGGGTAAATACCCATAAGTGGAATAACTAGTCTTTATGCTAGTCACATGGTTGATTTCTTAAAGGCTGCCAAACCATTTTCCAAAAACATGGTTGTACCATGTTATATACCTGTAGACAATGAAGGAAAGTTCCAGGTACTGCAGAACTTCAGCAACACTGAGGTGTATGATCACTTGTCATAATTCAGATGTTCTAATAGATGTATTGGGTAATCTCTTTGTTTTTTTGCCTTTCTCCAGTGACTTACATTGAGCATCTTTTCATGTACTTCTTAGTTATATATCTTCTTTTCTATTGTATTTGTTCATATATTTTGCCCATTTTTTAAAATGGGATTGCTTGATTTTCCTGAGTTTTGACAGTTCTTTGTATAGTTGGGATAGAAATTTTGGTTAACTTCACAAACAAGAGGGGTAGTCAAAAATTATGTGTTCCTTAGAGTAATACGCAACACACCTATGTCTTTGCCTTGAATGTGAATCCATCTGATTAAGCCCCTAGAACAATCAACTTACAGAAAATATAGGGAACAGAGACCACAATAAATGACATGTGGCTATCTGGTTAGAGAAATACAGGAAGGGAAAGGATAAAATGAAACACCCAGTTCATTGGATGTTTGCAATGGATAAATGGAAAGAGTGATGGATAGATAGTTGGATGGAGGGGAAACCTATAGATTAAAAAAGACAGATAACATCACAACTAATTACAATTTACAGATCTTCTTTCAAACATGATTTCAAATAGTTATAAACCAATTGAGGGAATTTGTAACTTATGATTTTAGAAATTGTTAATTTTATTATGTGGGAAGTGATATTATGGTTGTATTTATTAAAAGTGTTTAGTAGATACATAATGAAGCATTTATGAATCATTATGAGATGTATAAGATTTGATTCAAAATAATAAGGAGAGGAGGATGAGGGAAGAGAAATAAAGGAAATTTGGTTAGAATAAGATCGCCTATGATTAAAGTTGAGCAATAAGCATATAGAGTTCATTCTGCCATCTCTGCACCTCAGTATATGTTTGATGATCACAAAAAAAGTTCAATTTAAAGAACAGTATTGAAATTTTTTGAAAGAAGGCGACAAGGTGTAGATGACGTAAGTTCTTCAAGGAAAAGGTGTCTCAGAAATCTCAGGGGAAAAAGAAGGCAACTAGAAGAAAGAACTCTTTTGACAGATTTTTTTAAGCCCATTGTGACTGGCAAAACATAAGAAAAAGCCCTGTGTTTATCACTAAGTTATGGCATGCATCCCTTGAAGCACTATTCTGTTGTCTCCACTTGGTAATTTCAGAGCTCATTGAGGCAAGGATTATGCCTTTTTTTTCACTCTAATTTCCTGATACCAGATTAGCCGTAAATGTTGACCGTGAAGTTGAAATAAATGAAACAAACAAGAAATGTTGTATATAGGGAACATATATTTTCCAAAGAGATTTTTTTAAAATCAAGGATTAGGTGTATCTTTTGGATTCATATTTGGCTAAACAATAGCTCTGGCATATTAAAACAACACAGAATATCCCAGAAAAAAATTCCTAATAATAGGAGCTCCAATTGCTTTTGATTTTTTTTTTTTTTCAATTTCTAAATTGATGCATGGAGGAAGTTCGAAGTTAGTTAACTGTAGGGCCTTTGCTTCCACTCCTTGTACTGGTGAATTTAGGAAGCATGCACTGATTCGATTAGCTTCTGATCATGTTTACTAGAAAACATGAAAGATTAGCATATGCATTTTTATGGCTCTTTCTGACTCAGAGTCTTAATTTGTTTCATTTAAAAAAACTTAGTGACTGGTATTATACTAGTTGGTACAACACTGCCACCTATGGAGCAGTAGTAAAATTTGTTATAATACATGGATTTTTATATCATGCTATTTAAAAATGAAGAAAACTTGTTTTCTAACAAATTCTTTGATGAATTTTTTGGTAGATCAATAATTATATCACAAATTTATCTTCTGTAAAAATCTGAACTGGATTGACAAAAAAAAAGGACAAGTATACGGAAGATGTGAAGTAAAACATCTTATTAAATTTTGTTTCCTTTTCAGAAGAGTAAGAGGATCTTGACAGTTGAGGATAACGAAATCATAACATTTAAGCCTGGAAGATAACTACAGCATCCTCCAGATTAACAGCCTAAGATCAGCCCAGCAACAAATTCAATTTGGCTCTCAAGCAGGATGAAACTGCCAATTGAATCCAATAAAATGAAACAGACTGGGGTTAGGAGAACTCTGGGGTTCTGTTTCAAACTAAACTATTAATTTAATCAAAGATGGGATGATTTCATGTCATAACATGGTGATGGTCTCATACAAAAGCAGTGACCTTCAGACCTTTTTATAGCACACTATTATTAAAATATGAGCAACAGCTCTCTATATAACTTTTTAGATGGGCTTATAATTTAGATACATTAATTATTATGATTAGCCAATAGCCCAAAGCATAGTATACACTATTTAGAACCGAACCACACTACATAGAGGTTTGGGAGCATAAACTGAGCTCAGTGCCACTACCTAGCCATGAGACTTTTCTACTTGTTTTCTCAGCAGTAAAACAAGATAAGTAGTCTGTGCTTCACAGGGTGATTGTGTGGACACAGCATTAATACATTAACTGTGCATTTAGAACAATGTCTAGAATAGTTTGCACTGTGAAGTATACTTTTTATCATTTCTATTGTAATTTATATTACGTTTTAGAAGCCTTTGTGATTGTTACAAAAATTTACCTGACTTCTCATCACATCTGATAAATCAACCACTGCTCTAAGAACAATTTATCCCAACAATAAAATAATTCATCAATAAAATTGTGAACTTTTTTTGAGCAAAAACAGAAAAAAAAACAAAAAAACTTTCTCATTTGTGCTGAGGAGAAGTTCCAAAAGCAGAAGTGACATGCTGCCCAGTTTCCTGATTCTGTCTTGCTTGCATTTTCATCATATTCAGTCAGTAGTGTTTTTGTAGCAATCTTTTCACGATAGGCCATTTTTCATTCAATGAGTGTCTTGATTAAAAGACAGCGATTTTGCAAGCTATTAAGTAGATTCTTTGGAGACCACTAACTTAAAAACCTACCCACTTCCATGGGTGTGTTGCTAAAGATTTAAAAAGGTTCAGGTGACACAACATTTAAAACTTAAAAGTACTTTCATAATTGCCATTGAAACTGGATAACTTGATCTATGACTTGGGGATGAAGGGGCTGGGTGAGGAAACTGGTCTCCACCAGGGTAGTTTGTATTTGAAATACTGTTAACTTGTAAAACAGAATCTATATTTAATGTGAAAATGTAAGTTGAAAAGAGGTGTGTGTATTTCTTCCGTTTTATTATATTTTTATTTATTTATTTTAAGGACAGAGGTGTGTGTGTGGGGGAGGAGGGTGTGAGAGTATTCACCAGTACAGAACAGGAGGCAGAACAGGCAGGTGTACTGAAATACACTGCTGAGGGGAGCAGTGGGCGAGACAGGAGAAATCTGCCGCCACGTGGGTCACCTCCCTGGCTGGGGATGGAACTCAGTGCTGCAATGGCTGCTATTGCTTCATAGTGCTGTGCTTTAACCTGTTGTGCCACCAGGGAGGGAGCTATTTCTTCCTTTTAAAAAACAATCTTTTGAAGTAGCTCCATGTCTGATAACTCTGTGTCTCTCTGTGGTATTTTTCATTTAGTGAAAATTATAGAAATATTGAATAATGATTTTTTTAAAAGATTTATTTATTTGTGCATACAGAACTGGGGTGCAGGCCAGAGGCTCAGGGGCGGTGAGAGTCTTCACCAGAGACAGAGTGGGGAGCAGAACAGGCAGATGGAGGAAGTACACTGCTGAGGGGAGCAGCGGGTGGGTCAGGAGAGGTCTGCCACACCATGTGGTCACCTCCAGGGCAGGCGGGGATCGAACTCATGCGTAAGCGGCTTTAGATTCTCAGTGCTGTGCTTTAACCCACTGTGCCACCAGGGAGGGCCTGAATAATGATTTTTACTAAAGATTTCAACTTATAATTTGATACAAATATATATATGCTATATATTTGTATGAAGTAGACACACATCTACAGCTTCTTACCTTAAGAACTATTTATATAATTGTTAGATACTTATAATAACCTCATTCTGGGGGCCTAAGTCTAATTTTTTCAGTCGCTCAGATGATCTGCTGAATCCAGAAATATAATGGACATTATTTTATGTTGGTATGTATTTTGTCTCAAATAGTTTCCATTCATCCTCTTGAAATATCAATATAAAAATGATGTTTGCTGTATTTTCCTGTGGGCTTTTAAAAGTGCAATAATAAATTGGGCATAGTTAAGCATACATGCTATTATTATATAAATGAAGATACTTCTTTTTTAGGGTGACCAGTATTCATTATTCATGTTGTAAGACTTTATAAAATATTCTTATTTACCCTAGGTGGTTGGTTTTAGCTATTGCCATGGTACGCTTTTATATGGAAAAAGGAACACACAAAGGTGTATATAAACATATTCAGAAGACACTTAAGTTTTTCCAGACATTTGCCTTGCTTGAGGTAAGTTTACAGTGATGCTTTTTGTTGTTGCTGTAATATTTATTTAAAAATTTACCTATTGAGCAAAGTCAATCTAATTTTGCTGATTACATATTATCAATGTTGATATTAATATCAATATTGACAGGGATTCTATGTTAAATGCTACTGATCTGTAAATTTTGTTTGTTTTTGTTTACAGATAGTTCACTGTTTAACTGGTGAGTTTTTACTTAATTCCTATTTTCAGTATAAATGTCTTTAGGACAATGGCTGACTGTTTTTCCTCTTTTAGGAATTGTACCTACGTCTGTTCTTGTGACTGGAGTCCAAGTGAGTTCCAGAATCTTTATGGTGTGGCTCATCACTCACAGTATAAAACCAGTAAGTGGCATGAACTTGTTTTCTACTTTATTAATTGGAAACCAAACTATTAACACTGATCTGTTTCTGGAAGCAGAACCACTGAACACTGATAGAGTGTTTTAGCATCATGACTTTGAAACACAAGCAAATGTTGCATCTTATATTCATAAAGAACTACCCTGTAATGTGTTCCTGTTTTCAAAATTAAGCATTCATTAAATTAAACTATCAAATAGTTAACTAAAAGATGTCTGTTAAGTGTATTCTCTTTGATTATGTAAATTGAAGCTATCAGTGTAAACAGTTTTTCCTCATCATTGAATGTTGTTAAAAACAGCCATAAAAAAGCTCTAACTAAACATTAGAAGGGTTAAAGAACTTAGGGGAAAATAAGCATTATTATTTATTGAGGCATGCATGGCAGGAGACAGACCTGAATTGAATTAATAGCTTAACCTCTTGCAGACAAATAAACACCATGTTTACTAGGTCAAGATGCAGCCTTTTGCGATTGACAGAACATTCCCCAGATGGGCCCCTCTGACCTTCTTGACAGCCTTTGGTGGCTCTTGTGCACTTGAGGACAGATGTTTGGCCTCCTTTCCAGTACTCAGAGGTTCTGCTTTTCATTCCTCAGAGGCCCTTTCCTACTCTGAACTTGAGTTCTTTTGACAGGTATCTTTCATTTAGCGTAGTCTATTTGGTGCCTAACCAGTGACTACTCTACAGGTAGCAGTGAGCACAAGCCAGATATTTTAGTCAGATGCCCGATAGTTGGAAAAAAAGGGGCCCAGCAAATAGAATAAGAGAGACTATTCCAGACAGTGAATGAATCTGATAGGTGGACCAATACCTCCAAGACTGACAACTGACGAGGAAGAAAGGCAAAGAAAGCTTGGCCAGTATGAACTGAAGAAAAGTGATTGGCAAGTTCAGAGTGGCTAGTCTTGAATGGAGCAGAGAACCCAAGCTGCTGGGATCTGGTTATTAATAATACAAATGTGAATCCTCCCTTGTAGATCCTACAGTAGACAATAGATTAAACAGATAGTAGCACAAATAATTATTTCATTTTATTAATGCTAATGCTTTCAAAATTAGAGCCCAATCTGCACTACAGTGCAGGGATTTAGACTGTCATAGGGGGTGAAGGAATGCTTATGCTGTACAGTGATAGATACCCCAGGTTGACCAGACAGATTTTAACATAGATTGGCAAATGTTACGGGTATGAACAAAGTACTATAACAACAGTACTATAAGGAAGGTGAACCAGTTAACTGCTTCCAGTGATTGGAAGTTTTTGGAAAAGTTTTACAGAGGGTGTGATATTTTAAGTACATCTTAAAAGATAAGAAAGATTTGGGAAATTAGAAGGGGTTAGCACTCTAGTTGGAAAGAGAGCATGTGTAAAGACACATGTTGGGAACATGTTGTAGATATAATGCAGTTTAGTATTGCCAGAATAGGTGGGTATTCCAGTGACTGTGGATGAAGTTCAAGAGATTTCTGAACTCAGATTATAAAGCAGGTTGCCTTTCATACCCAGCTAGTAGGATTTTATTCTTTTGTCTTGATTAGCCAGTGAAACTCTTAAATGACAAGAGTAGCCATTTCAATTTGGGTTTTGTCCACTGGCTTTTTGTTTTGCTTTCAAGGAAAAACTTCCATCCAAGAAGAGAATAAAGACAAGAGAGACTATTTGGCTGTTATGGTAGTCTGGATGCAAGATAAGAAGGCCTGAAATAAAACAGCAGTTCCAGGGCCAAAGAGAAGTGAGCTGACTTGAGAGTTAGTGCTACAGTAGAATGGGTGTGATTTGATGTCATATTGTTCCCCTGCTTGACTGCAGGGAATGATACTGTCCTGAGCTAGTTGAGTAATTGGCTTGAGTGGAGGGTGAGAGAGGGAGAGAAATCAGTAAGTAGTTGGTCATCTCTGAGTATAGCACATATTTAAGTTGTGTGTTTTGATAAATTATTTGGTGACTGCATAACATTTTCTGGCTTGCATCTGTCTAACGCAGACATTCCAACTACAATAGAGACACAGTAAACCATTAAAATATCTTTATGGAAAAATGAGTCCTGGGTTAAACGACACTGTGGATTTTTTCTGTAATCCTGCAGATCCAGAACGAAGAGAGTGTGGTGCTTTTTCTGGTCGCATGGACTGTGACAGAGATCACTCGCTATTCCTTCTACACATTCAGTCTTCTCGACCATTTGCCATACTTCATTAAATGGGCCAGGTGGCGATGTCTTGCAGTTTAGCTTCTCACAGTCCTGTGCATGTGTGTATTCTGTGCTAAGCTAACACCAGATAATTAACATTTGTGTCTCAGCCCCACAACATCAGGATACTATTGTTTTGAATATTAGCAGTGTTCTAATTTGCAGCCTTAATCCAATGATCAGTGAGGAATCATAATACATATACAGAGTGAAATCAATGCAAAATAACTATGTATCCTGAGTGAAATAGACAAATATATTTACATCTAGCTCTTAACTCTTAATGCTACACAACATTTCATACTTGGCTGAACTAATCCTTTTTGCTAGAATTGAGATTGTTTCTGGTCTCTACTGTTATAAATACTGCCTTGAGTTCTTATCAGCAATTTTTAAACCATAGTCTTGTTTTATACAGCTTTGATATATATGTTGACACATTCCTAAATTGTTTTAGGATAGTCTTTAAGTAGCATCAGCTACCCCTAATCTAACACTTTCTCTAGAGTTTTTATAATCCATGTATTATTATATGTGTTCTAATACAAAATAGAATATATGAACACAACACAGAGGAGGTAAATACTTTTAAAGTTGCTTCTAGCCCCTCTGTACAAGGATAGTCAATTATGATCTATATTATTTCAGACTTTTAAAAAATATTTCACTTCTTTTTAGACATTTGTGGCTTACCATTTTGCATATAATAGAATAGTTTGAAGTTTTAATTTGAACTTAATCATACTATCATAAGAAATTTGCAGTTACCACTTAAATATGTTTGGGTGGTTTTATTATATCAGAAAACTTATGCTGTGTGGCTGGGCTTTGTCCAAAGTTGTTGGTGTGGAATGTGATTGAACTCTAATCCTGGAATGATTATTAAGCCATATTGCATGACCACTGCCTTCTGGATTTCTTACACCTTAAAAATACTAATTAATGACATGTTCTTTTTAGAGTGCTGTATTCATGAGTTTTTTGTTTTTGTTTTTGTTTTTTTTTTTTTTTGCAGAAAGGAATAATCTTTAATGCTTTACTACCTGCCTTTGGAAATAATTTGCATGTCTTTAGTTTCTGGAAAAGTTCAAAACTGCCATTGCATGTTAAATTTACTATTTATTTGTCAATTGCATAAAAGTTGAATAAAGTAGTATAAAATCTTTCAAATATTAAAATACATGTTTTCACATAGTGCATTGCATCATTTAATCATAATCATGATTATACTTCATGTCAAAAATCTTAACTATCCCAATCTGTATACATTTGCCCAGCCCATTCAAAATCCTAAACTAACATTTGTATTTAGTTTAAATGTTGAAGTATTTGTTATCAAATATAACACTTTACTTGAGAAATGAGTTCTTATTTATAAGTAACCTATTGTAATGGCTTGAATGTACTTTGATTTTGTGTTAGAAGTGTTCCTCTCCACAGAATAGGTAATTGTATGCTGTTATATTTTTATATTGATTTACATTTTCATTTCAAAAGATGCATTCCTTTAACAATTTTTTTGTAGTTGACAAGAGTCTTCAAGGAAGCATTCTTTATTTTTATGAAAGGGTAGTTAAATCTCCCATCCTGGCTTCAAAATTTAGAGAGATTATGACATGCACTCTTTTAAAGTGCAAATACAGTCAGATATATGATGCAATTTGTTCCTATTTCATTAAACGTTTTTCATTGTATTTAAATGCCTTATTCTAGGAGTAATGTTTTTTTCAATTATAAAACAGTAATCTGTGCCCTCCCTGGTGGTGCAGTGGGTTAGGACTCAGCACTGCAAGCTGGCAGCAGCTCCTTCAGTGCGAGTTCGATCCTTGGCCCTGAAGGTGACCCACGTGGTGAGACAGACCTCTCCTGACCTGCCCGCTGCTCCCCTCAGCAGTGTACTTCATCTATCTGCCTGTTCTGCTCCCTGCTCTGTCTCTGGTGAATCCTCTCACTTCTCCTGCACCTCTGGCCTGTACCCCATTTCTGTATGAATAAATAAATAAATCTTTAAAAAATAAGGGCTCTCCCTGGTGGCTCAGCAGGTTAAAACACAGTACTAAGAAGCTTACGCCACTTCTGCATGAGTTCGATTCCCGCCTGCCCCAGAGGAAACCCACATGGTGGGGCAGACCTCTCCTGACCCACCCACTGCTCCCCTCAGCAGTGTACTTTATCGATCTGCCTGTTCTGCTCCCCACTCTGTCTCTGGTGAATCCTCTCACTTTCTGCATCTCTGGCCTATACCCCAGTTCTGTATGAATGAATAAATAAATCTTTAAAAAAAATAAAATAAAATAAAACAGTAATCCTCACTCCCCCACCTCATCACCTAAGAAATAAGTAATTTTGAATGTTTTGTTGAGAAATAAGTAATTGAGAAATAAGTAATTTTGAATGTTTTATTTGAGAAGGAAATATATAACGTTCAACAGTTTAATTTTAAATTGAGAGAGAAAATGATTAATTTGAATGATATACAAATAGTTATACTATAGTGATATCAAAATATATATCCAAGGCCAGAAGGGAATAAACGGGACAGTAATGGATCATTCGTCTTTCTTTACCAGTTAATCTGTCTTAGCAAAGAACTCTGTCCCTCTTCCCCATCTCTTATCCTTGAATACCTGCAGTATATAAAAAATAAGGTGGTTTGATAATTGTCTCCAAAACTCTGCCATACTGTCAAATTTGACTTTTCTTTTAAAAATTCTTAATGCCAACAAAATGACTACAACTAGCTTTTCTTTTTTCAAAATCTTAGACTTAATTTTCTGTGGTAACTTATGCAGTGGCTGCCTTGGAGAAACATTATTTAATGGAGAAATATCATTGCCTTGGGTCCTTGAGGCTGTTCTGCTTGAATCCACTAGATACTTGAGAGTATTCTTTTAGCTGTAGATGTAAACGACATCCAGCCTACTCTGTTAGCAACCTGCCACAGTCCAAATGAACACTTTGTGATTTTGGGTTTTGAGTAGAGCTTTCTCAGCTCTATTTTAAGCAGGCTAACTCTTCCTTTAATGTGGGAGTTCAGGAAACAATTTGTCTTGTTTTATGATGAAAGCAGTTTTACACAATACAATACATTCATTGGTAGCTATTGATGTGTTAGGTAGTATTATCAGTTTTCTGAATAGTAAGTCTCTTTTAGTTAGTAGTCACAAAGCGTTTCCCCTCAAAAGAACTACTCTGGTAATGATAAGATTAAGATATGAAATTAGGATCATAATTAGTCTTTTAAAAAACAGCATTTGATCAGTAAGTTAATAACTACAGGAAAAAAACATCAATTGTAATTCTATGCTTGAAAGACATTACCTTTATAATGCTTTACAACCCTGACATATACTATATAATTGCTACTTGAGAAAACTTACCCTTACATATCTTATTATACATTAAAAACTACAGATACACTTTTTAATATATGAATTTATTTCATTATTAAAATGTCAGTTTATTTGTTTTATTAAGAAGGTGTTAAAAAAAAAGGTGTTGAAATTAGAATTGATGTGAGAAAAAAAAGATACTCAAATCAAGAAGTAAATGATTTAAGTAGAAAAAAAACCTTAAGTAAGCTTATTGTTAATATGAATAGAAAGGAGTATTTTTAAGTTTAAAAGCTGTAATAGCAAAAGAACCATGGTATAAAGTCCATTAATTATTCTAGAAAAATAATTCTCCAAGGTTTTTCTTTCTGCAGATATAACTTTTTTATCATCTTATATCCTGTCGGAGTTGCTGGTGAACTTCTCACAATATATGCTGCCTTACCATATGTGAAAAAAACAGGAATGTTTTCAGTAAGACTTCCTAACAAATACAATGTCTCTTTTGACTACTACTATTTTCTTCTTATAACAATGGCCTCATATATACCATGTAAGTATATATTTGCTAATCTTTTGATATAGCATATGATAGGAAAGCTTGGGGAATGAAATCATAACATGCTTATTAAGCAAGGGGACAGAATGGCTTACAAATACATCAAAACCTCCCTTTGCCTATTTATTTGTAATTTGAAATAATCGAGGAGTAGGTCAAAAAAGACTATTTCCTAGTTATGAGAAAAAAGTAAATATATTAATATGCAAATGATTGTATTTTTAAACTCATTTAAAAGGTTAGTATGTAATTATATTTTTAAAGGAAAAATAAAGCATGTATCATTGTGCATTTAGGCTATTTGTCCAAATATAGATCTATCTGTATATAAAATACAATAAACTTACTAAATTTAAGTTTGTTTAAAAAATCCTCCAAATTTATAGCATTAAGATAATTAGTAGGCTTTCATAAGTAATCTTACCTCCAGCTCTGCAATATTGAGGGGTGGTAATGGGTTAGGATGTGCTTATTCTCAACATTTGCTACATTTAACAGTTTCTAAGCATTACTCATTTTAAACCTTCATTTTCTTTTCTTTTTTCAATTAAGTGTTTCCACAACTCTATTTTCACATGTTACGTCAAAGAAGAAAGGTGCTTCATGGAGAAGTGATTGTAGAAAAGGATGATTAAATGATCACTGCAAACAAGGTGCTTTTTCAAGAATAACCAGGATTACTTGAGTCCAAGTTTTAATAACAAGAATAAACAACTTTATGACATGGTGGATTGTATTATTTCTTAAAATACAACTAGAGATGAGGTATTTGCCACTATTAGTCTTCACATTGTGTCAGGTTCATAATTTACAAGAACTACACAAGTATTATCAACTTCTGGGTAGATAATGATTGTTACCAAAGTAACTACCTGGGTAAAAAGTTTTCCTTAATTTTGTTAAGTGATTTTTTTGCTACTGTGCTCAAAACCTTTAAAATCAATACTTATAAATTAGTTTAATGATTTAACATTATGATACCTGCCAGTGATATTTATGTGCTCTTTATAAATGAAAGTAAATGCAAAGTTATAATGATTTGTTAATAACATATTGGTGTTTCATGAACTCAAGATCTACTTATTTCAAGTTATAAGGCAGTATTTTTGATAAATAGCTCTTTTTGGAAGCATTGATATGATGTATTATGGTAAAGATTGTTGATATAAAGTATCCACATAAAAATTACTCAAGTAGATGTCACAATTGGAAAATATTCTTTGAAAATACACCCTGACCATTGGAAATACTGTCATCACCAAACAAATTTACTTTTATTTGAAGTAATCACGTAAGGATAAGCTTTGCAACTGTAAGGACTTTAAGGGATTAAAAAGAATAAAATAATTATATTTCCTTACTTGTTCAAAAATAACACTGAATCTGATCATAATTTTATACACAGAACTCCAGCTGATAAAGGCTGCTCCATATTGTGGATCATGTAGCAAAACCTTGTTATGAAAATCCCTTTGTTGTACTCAGGTAATAAAATAA